GAAATATACTATCAAAGTATTTTTTCAAGCCTTTAAGCGCAAATTTCTTTTCTCACTGAAATTTATTAGCCTGACACTGAAATATCTTTTCTTAAATTATTTGCTTTGTTCTTCATTTCACCAAGAATACTATTTTAGGTTTTTTTGTTAAAGTTGGGTACAATCATTGACTTTAAAAAAGTTTCCCATCTTCTGTCGTGTGTGGAGGGAGATTTGATTCAAAATTGCATCTCAAGAATTTTGAAATTTTTATGAGTACGTAGCTGATACATTTTTCTGCTTCAAAAAATGGAAACTATTAAATGCATAGTTTCTGAAATTTCAGCTAACTCCACAGATTTTTAGCTATATTATTCACTTGCCTGTGATAAAAAATGTTCTCCCTGGTGCGCTGGTCCCTTTTGGGAAGGAGAGGGGTGCAGCGGGAGCGTGGTTGGTGTCCGGTCGCTGATCCTGCCCTGGTTGAGGGCCCTTTCCTTGCAGACCTCATCTGGAGATCGCAGCCTTTAGCGTAGTGATCTAGCAGGTGATGGCTCTGCAGTGCAGCGTTCCTGTGCCTGTTCCCTACCTCCCCCTGCACAGGACCGCCATCCCACCGGTCGTCTTTGCTGCCGCTGCTGCAAATGAGCACTGTAGAACATCTATGTCAAATTTTCTTCTAATATAAGTTCATTGACTTAACTAGATTTACTTGAGCAAAACCGTGTTTCTGTGCTGGTTTATTCACCCCATTCGCTTTATTAGCTGCTAATCTGGAAATCAGTGTTTTTCTCAGTTGTGAGTTCTCCTCTTCAGCAGAGGCTGAGGCAGCAGGTAGAAACTGTTTCTTCTGGCCTCGGTCCCTGGTTGCCAGGGCTGGTGCAGGAGCTCCTGTCCAGTGGCTGTCAGCTCAGGGCTGGCTCGCTTGGACCTTCCCCATCCTGCCTTCTGCTCAGAGCTCCGCCAGCCCTGCCTGGTTCCAGGGTCTCTTCCCGGTTTAGAGTCCTGCTCAGCTGTCTCGTGGGTGAAGAGCAGAGTGCTCCCTCCCTGGCACTACCAGAGCCTCTACTTGGAGCTCACTGAGATTTTTTTTAAGATACACACAGCATTTTTAATGATTTAGGAACTTGTCACCAAAGAGGTCAGGATGGTTTCTTTATCCAAGCCTTTGCAAGGTGGTATCCTCTTTTTTTTTTTTTTTTTTTTTTCCCCTAAAGAACTGTTAAGCATGTCAAGCCTTTTCCGAACTGATGGAAAGATTCATTGCCATTTCAACAAGGACAAGAGAACAATGTAAGAGCAAGTACTGGGGGATTATTTTTTTAAACAACCTTAAATTTGCAAGAGAATTTTTTTTTTCAAGATTCCCTCTCCCCAATCAGAAAAGAACATAGCTTATTAAAAAATGGCTTATTAACATAGCTTATTAAAAAATGGTTAAAAACAATTTCATACGTCTACGTTGTTGAAGCTGTGACTAGAAAGAATGTGACTAGAACCCCGTCTGCTATGAGATGAGTTTTTAAATTCTAAAATTGCTGGCTGAAATTTTCTAATAGAAAAATCAGCATTTGGAGAGACCAAGCAAGCAGACTTTCCAGCCCACACATGCATTCTTTTTTTTTTTCTTTCCTTTTTTTTTTTGGAGAAAGCCAAAGTCTGAAAATCAGGTTTTAATGAGAAAATGGAGTTTGAAAAACAGCTTGAGAAAATTTACATTCCGATTTGACTGAAGTTTCATAATTTGTCAGAGCAGGTTTTGCAGTTTTAACGTGCATCACTCGTTATTTAAGAAAAAATAAAAACTCGAAATTTAAGAAAAAAAGGCATATAAGAATGACCAGCAATGTTTGACAAATCCTGGCTCACTTTAAGAGAAATATAAATCAAATGGATTTTAGCATTAGAACTCAAAGGTATCAGCATAATTATTTCAAGCTGATGTCCATTTAAAATCAATGAGATTTGTTCTGAGGAAAAACTGTGAGCTTTTTCATGCTGAAAATATTGTTGTTTGAGAATTTTCCTTGGATCTAGTGCAGAAGATTGTAACCTTGTTATGCTTGTGGGTGATCTGAATGGGAGAAAAGATTTTTCTCCCCCTTTTTTTTTTTAAAAAAAAAAAAAAAAGAATAACAGAAAGAACTAATTAAGGCAACGCTAAGGAATTGAATTCAAAGTTTGCATTGCACATGTGAACTAATCTTTTTACAATGGTATCTTTCGAAAGCTGTGTAAGAACCCCATTCATGCCGGGTCTCACCCAGCAAATCCTTCCTAGAAAAGCAGCCACACGAAGATTTGTCATGAGCAAGCAATAAAGACTTCCAGGAAACAGGTTCTGTACAGGCTTCTTGTTTGCCTACTAAGTCATTAACCTTCAAAAAAATCCCATCTGTAGCCTTAACAGGCTCTGGTTGTAATAGGTGTGTCAGCAGAACTTCATGCTAAGAACAGCTTTTACAGGATTAGATTCGAGTTTTTAAGTGACAGTACCATGGAGCTCTTAGGGGCAAAGAACCGCTGGTTTAATGCAGCACATTCTCTCGTGTCCTTTTATGCCATGTGCTGAAATGTGGTGAATCTCTGAGCATGTTAAAATGAAGAAAACTAAGTGTTCAGGAGTAGGTGATTTTTGAAGCAAAATGGCTGTGTGTGCTTTAGAAGCAGCCACTGCGTTTGGAGAGCTTTCTTCAGGTCTTGAAATATTAATGATCTTGGCTTTATGTAGTAGAAAACAAAATACAGTGCATGAAACGAGGGGGAAAAAAATAATCTTTGAATTAGACTGTTGACCTTGCAGTACCCACTGAATCCATCTATTCCCTTTTAAATCACTGAGTCTGAAAAGGCAGTGAGGAGGAGGAATGGTCGCAAAAATCTTTCCCTGTGACGTTTTCCTACCTTTCCAACAGCATGTTATAGCCTGAGCAGCATCTTCAGCCTTGTACGAGATTCTTTATCCTTGAGGTATTTTAATACTAGGAAGATGCTAAAGACAGCTCCTCCTTTAGCAGTTTCTGTGAACTATGACGTTCATATTAACAGTAATGTTAGAGTTTACATGTTTTATTTTAAAAACCTTGAATAATAGAAAGAATTCTGTGGATAAGAGCGGTCAGCCTGGTCTCCTCTTGTATTCTGTTTTTCCGTGCCTTATCTTTATATATGGCAGGAAGATTCTGCCTGTCGGTGTCTGTCCTGGTCATATACAGGCTTAGGTGTATTTCTGATCTGAGCTGTGGCAGTGAAAACGGGGAATAATATGGCAGATCAGCATCTGCCACTTGACTGCTGCTGTTGTTAAGCCAGGCACAGGAGGACGTGTAGTGATAGTACAACTCACTCTCCAGATATTGCAAATCATATAAAAAAAATGAAAAGTAATTTTCTGTGGTTTTTTGTTGTGGTTTTTTTGTGTGTGTTGGTTTGGGGTTTTTTCTTTTTTTTTCTGGGCAATTCACATCACAAGGAGAACAAGCTGTTTTACACGAGTTGCCTTTGTGTACTGCGCCTGCCTGGCTGATAGACCGTACCCAGTGGGTTTGTATTTGTGTTCAGGGACTAATTGTCTCTGATGTGGGGAGGCTGGGTTCGACCCCCATGATTCTTCCTGCCAAAGCTGTGGTTTCTGATTTTAATGGAAACCCCAAGGCCATCTGAGGCATGGCCAAAAAGCACCTTGCAAGTTGAACCTTATCTAATAACATGATGCATGTAAAGTCTGGAAGCATAAATCTCAGTCACTTGAGCAATGTGTTTTTGTAAGATCCTCTGGTCCAGTGACAGCCACAGCGAGCGAAAGCGGACTGATCTCCTGGCGCTCTTACAGATGGCGCACCGCACATCGTAAAGTTAGGACTCATTAAGGAAATTCCATAAATGGCTTTGGTTAATAAGAGTGAAGTAACTTGCTGTTTTATAAATGTGTTACTGAAATCCCTCTTCGTTTTCCATTGGAGGGCTTCATAAGAGAAGGAGGGAAAGAACGAGGGGGACTAAGGGGAGGGTAAACCAGAAAGAGTGAGCCCCGGCTCTGCAGGGGCCTGTGCCCTGCGTACAGGAGCCTGTGCATAGCAGGGGAACCCTAAAGGTAGCGTAGGTGATAAATGACGAGATGTGGGAGTGAGTCACACAGTTAATACTGGGAACAACCTTTCCTTTTTACACATTTGCATGCCTGGGTATTTTCTCTGTTCTCCGTAGCGCTGAAATCCAGTGGTGATGGTGGGTTTTTATCTCTAGCCAGGGGAGACATTTCTAGGATGACATACCTGTTAGCCACCATTAAAATGTGTTATTAATGATGCTAATGAGTTTTTTCCAAGTGATATAAAAGTAGCCATTCGTGTAAGCATTGCATTTATGAAGATGATGTCACCAAAAGCTTGCCAACTGCACGTGGGACCTGGTGGCAGTGGTGCAGTTACTGCTATGTCCTGGCTTCGAGGAGGGGAGAGCATTGCTGATTTCCTCCCTTGGGGAGAAGGAGCCAAATGAGTTCTGCTTTGCCAGGAGGGAGACGTGCCATTTCCGGGCATGTCAGGCTGAGGGCCTCGCTGCCAATCCCAGTGGGTTCCTGTCCCACTCCCTCTTAAAAATTGGCAGTGTCTGACTGTCAGCTGCCATTCCTTAAGTGGTCATAGAATAAACCAATCGCACCCCTCTTGTCATGCTCTGTGCGTGTGAATGCAGGTGGACATGGGGTAAGCAACACGCAACTCCACAGGAAGCACAAAGAGGCAGCTGATTTTCTGGCAGTGTCAATAGAAGAGGATAATTTTTTTTTATCATCTCCAAGCCAGCTTTTAAAATGGCTCTTGTTGGAATTAGAAATCAGTATCCCCTGACATAGGATTACTCATTAAGAGTGTGATGATTGTTAATTCTTCACCTGGGGCTAAGAGGACATCGTTAGATCTCTTTGAAATGTCTCCCGCCTTGATTTTGAATAAGTAAGCTGGCAATTTATGATCACAGCCTGGGCAAGTAACACTCTCCCTTCCTGTTCTTCCATCTAGCTTGCAAAATCGGATACTACAAGGCTCTCTCGACAGATGTTGCTTGTGCCAAATGCCCGCCTCACAGCTACTCAATCTGGGAAGGCTCTACCTCCTGCACCTGCGATCGGGGCTTTTTCCGAGCTGAAAATGATGCTGCCTCCATGCCCTGCACTCGTAAGTTGGTCTTTATACAGTCTCTTCCCCTTTTATTATCCATTTCTTCTGTCTTTCTTTCACTGTGTATGTAGGAAATATTGCTCAGAGATCAGTGTCTCTAAGAAGTGTCCTGCTTCTGAGAGCAGCATTCAGTAGCTCTTACAGCCCTTTGCAGATGCAGTTTGCGTTTTGGCTTACGCTTCTGGGAGAGAAAGTGTTAGTTCTCAGCCCTTCATTCCTAACAGTGACATGGTTGCACTGACCCTTGAGAGCTTACAGTCTAAGTAAATCAGGAGACTGGGAGGAGACAAAGCTGCAAAAGAGGAGTGACTTGCACAACTCAGTAACAGAGCTGGAAATAAAATACAGGTCCAAGTTCCAGTCTGAGCACCTGTCCAGTAGATCACATCACCTTTCATCTCTTTAAATATCGATATATGTAGAAATTGTGAAAGCATGTCTTATAATTGTATGGCATAGGGTAAATAGGTAGTATTTATAATCTCATTATATATATAATTTTCTTAAAATATAGCTGATGACCCTTAGAAACATAAAAGCGTTCCTCTGAAAGGGGTGGAAATAATAAATCTTAAGCCCTAATGAAACAAACACCCAAAGTATGGTTTATTTTATTCTTGGTAGATAAATACATCATGTGCAGCAAATGGCATTTGCTTTAGTTCCACCAAAATGCTTTCAGCAGGGAGAACCAGAGGTGTAGTGCACTGAGCACACCCACGGGGCTGCTGGAACAACTCCTTGTCCTGTGTGTTGGTTAACGGCTCACACAGCTGAAGACCTGGGATTCCAGACGTGCCCAGGTGTTATATCCTGATCATCTAGTTCTTTGGTTTTCACTTCTCTAGGAGCAGAGCAGTTTGAAACAATAAGTGAAAGGGCTGTATTTTACCAGGGGATATCCATGTGTGGCTTTCCCTGAAAGCCATTGGAAATGCTTCCAGATTTTTGGTGTTCAGCTGTATATTTATGTAGAGAGTGTGTTTGTGTCTATGAGTGAGGGAAGGCTGAGATACTTCTTTTGTAACATTTTAATATATTCCAAATTCATTTTGGAGAGATGACTCACATTTATTTAAATCTTAATTTTTCCCTTACAAGGCAGAAACAAAGTATGTCCATAACTAAGCCAGCACTCATCCCTTCCCCACACCCCCTCGATTCCAGCTCTTCTTCAGTGATCTCCTCCTTTTCAGCTGTGAGTTTTGCTGGGTGGTGGTTAAGCAGGTCTGGGCATAGCCAGGAGCAGCTGCTTTTGCTTAGTGGGAAAGCAGAGAGGTCCGTATATCCCTTGCCAAACATTGACTGGGGATGGAGGTCTAACTGTATTGTGAAACCTTGCTGCAGTGGGTAGGAACATGCTTTTTATAATATAATTTACACTAGGAGATATAAAGCTTGACCATTTTGATAGGAAAAATGTCTTTTTGCAACAATAAAACTATTGTTCAGAAGGTATACTCTAAATAACATTATAGCAGCAAAAGTTTCTCATACAGCCCTGGTCCTAGTGAGTGATATCCTGACCAAATTGAAATCAAATTAGTAATCAGCTGGTTGAATTTAAATAGGCATGTGCAGCGAGTGAAGTATGAGCAGAGAGCAAAATACTTCCAGATGGGGGAATTGTGAGCAAATGATATGTGTGTTTGCTCGTATTGCAAAATGTACCCCTGCAAGCATAGCCATTTTTGTCAAGTCTTGGGCCTGCTTCTGGCACCCTTCCCCATTCCTGTCTTCAGAGGTCAGTCAAAGTTGAAGTCCCTGATCTTGGTCTTTTACCCTGAAAATATGAAGAGGGAAGAAGAGGCAAGGGCTATCGTGCTGGCCTCAGTCTTCATCACTGCAGCAGTCTAGGAGGACTCGGCATGCAGAGGCAAGCCAACACCAAGAGCCCACAGACACCTGGTCTTGGAGAACAGGCCTGTCTCTGGAGGTCCCATTTCATAGCTTTGAATTTTCCTGCAGCTTAAGTGCTTCTTTTTCTGTGATCCAAGATGAAGGAAGACACAGAGGTTATTTCTGAGCTGACCTGCGGGGCAGCTTTGCTCCCCCACTCACTGCTGTGCTCGCTCATATCCCCTCTTTGAGGTCTGCCTCAGCAGTGTTTGAACATAGCTATGATGGTGGTACCTGCACAGGCACAAAATGCAGTCCTGAGTGCATGGTGCACCTCTGCGTTGCGCGGGGAGCGGGGTGCAAGGGGCTCCTGGGGGGGGGCATTCGTTTGCTGTGCTCCCCACACTGAGTCGCCTTCGCCCACGCGCTTGAGGCAAGTGACAGAAAACGTTTAGAGGGCCTCTGCTGAAGGAAGCCCCTCCGGAAGAAGCTCCCCGTTTGTCTGCCTTTCCTGACAAGATGTGGAGACAGAAGGGAGCGTAAACATCAAAGGTTCTTTCAGATGGATTCAGACTCTAATCAGTTCTTACCAGTTGGTTAAACCAGGTGACAAACCCAATTCCCTTGTGCTGACAGCCATAATAATCAGGCACCTTCTTTGTTCATTATGCTCTCTTTAACCCTGGTATTCTCATTCAGCCCTGCATTTAGTAATCACTCAGTGTGACGGCGCACTAATGAAGAAATAAAACACAGTATCTGAGATCCATTCTTCTAGCAAAAAGATAGACTCTGCTCCACTGGCTTGTAAAATCAGGTTTCTGTACACTTGGAGAACTATTAGACCAGGTGAATAAAAGTAACATTGGGTAATTTGGAGAGAACACCTGGAATGGACTATGGATTGATCTTTTCTTTATTATTTCTAAACACTTTTTAAGATTAAGAACTTCAGCCTTCTTAGGATGTGGTTTTTTTAAAGCTTTGACCCTTGGCTATTGATTTCCTTTAGTAATAAACTGGCTGGCCTCGTCACTTATCTCGCCTTCTAGGTTGGGGGAGGAAGACTGTTAGGACTTTCCATTAGCCTGGTTGTGCTAGTGGATGAAAGGGAACTGGAGAATTCCCCTTCCTTTTCCTTTCTTGCAATTCCCATGGTAATTGATAAAAGCAACACCTACCTCCTGGTGCACTGATCAGGAGAGGTACTCCAGAGTCTTCTCATTCCATAACACCAGTCTCTGTCATTTCCATCTGTTGTTGAGTTGTAAAAGCTGTGCCTAACCTTCTGGTAATCCATCCATCCAATCTAAACAAGTAACTCAAACTCTGGTTTTAGTATTCTGCTCTATTTTGGCTTCGCTAGAGAGCAGAATGTGGCAGGACGTGAGCGAAGGAGACGGTGGAGCGGGCTGTGTCAGAAGGTCAGGCATAGACACCCTGACATACACGTGTTTACTGATGCATCTTTTCGCTCAAGCTTGCCTGGTGGGAATAATCATCAACGTGTCTGTCACCACGGAGGAGCAGAGCCGCCCTGGATCCACCACTTTGACGTAACTCAGGAATTTAGACTTTCAACTCTGAAGCACAGTGGGCTTGTCAGCTGTGTGCTTGGGCATGGAGATGGTATGATTGGCCTGTAGTACACTTGAGCACAAGCTCTGGAAAACGGGGATGCCTTTCCCTTTTGAAAGCATCGCAAAAATAATGTTAAGGCAACTATTCAGACCTTCATTATATTTCAGTACTTGCTGAGAGGATGAGTCTTTCATAAGGTTAGCAATCTAATGGAGAATAAATTGCCTTACCAACACACAAATCCATGAGGCTTGAAATCAATCGGTCTCAATCATAGTCCTCGTTCCTGAATTTCCTTCTCCGTAAGGAGAAATTCTGTGAATTGCAGCCTGGCGCAGGCAGGTGCAGTTCCCACCCAAGTTAATGGGCGTTGGTCCTGTGTCCCCACCGTTAATGAGTCGGGTTCTCTGTTTCTTAACAAAGAATGCTCACATTATGAGTGAGACTGGGACGGTTTTGTATTGTTTATATTGTCTGTTTGATTCAGATTATTAATGATTTTTAATTGGGAGCCCTTTACAAAAGAGAGATTACTGGCATAGACTGTCCAGCTTGAAATTTGTCTCAGTAAATGACCCTGAATAATTTAGTCCGTTGTGCCACCCAAACAGTGACTGATTGATTGATATTTTGGCGTGGCCTGAAATATTTCTAAAACGGTTGCATTTAAGACAGTTTATACCGGAGAAGCTTAGAGATAATGAGAGCAAATTTAGTGAGATGCAAGAGAAAAGTGCCTGCTTTAAAAGGTTTAGGCTTCAGTTTAGGTTATCAAGAAATCGAAGAGCCTGACTTCAAACAGCAAACGTCACTTACTTGTCTTTACATTCGCCTCTTCTAATTGAATTTAGTGCACTGCTGTATTTCCTCCAGAAAGTATATTGTTTTTAAATTACCATTTCAGTGCTATTACTCAAGGCTCCTGCTTCTAATGCTTTCTGACAGTTATCAGCATAATGAACCATAATGAAATGATGAGCAATCTACAGTGGAAACTCAATGTGGATTCCACTAGAGCTGTGTGGCTGTGTTGTTAAAATCTGAATGCACATTAAAATAACACTGTCCTTATTTGTTTCCAAGGTCAAGGCTTTAAAAAAGGTCTGAAAGGTCTAAACACTTCAATTTTGTAAGTGTTACAGTCTAATGAACGCCCTTAGCGCAATCTTGCGTTGCATTTAATGTATCTCAGAGATAAATATTTGACCTGCTTTTTCAAAAAAGAGTGAATTTACGTACCTAATAACTGTGCTTGCAAATGAGTAATTACACAGGAGCTGATTATTTGAGCATATGTTTATTATGATTGTTTAGACTTCTAAATAAACAAATGTGCTGTTTTTTCCTTTAACTTAACTTGTGGCTCTTCTAAATTTCCAGACAGACGCCGATTATCGCTGTTCTAGCTTTTAGAAGAGTAAGAAAGTCGGGTACAATGCGCGGTCATGCTGGCTAGTACACTGTAGGTAGCTTTGCCCTGGCTTTGCCATGCTTCCTTCCCAGGGTTTGCACGCTTGTTTTGGCACTACTTCATTCTAACCTCTGGTGTTGGAACCCATTCTCTATAATATGAAGTA